GAGCGCGCCGGAGATCGTTGTTGTTAGCTTCTGGTGCTAGCGAGCTACGCTAACAGATATAAGGAGTTTTTTCAACAACAAGGTGGAGGAGAGTCCTCTCCTGTCAGACTGAGGGACTCAGTGAACTAAAGGACTCTCTCAGTGTTATCTCAGTGGGTCACAAATGTTTTGGTCACCATTAATGTAAACAATTATTTCCGAGGCACACGTTTATATGATCATTATAGTTATACAAAAATAAGAGAATCAATTAAAAACAGCTATGAAATACTATATGACATTAAAAAAAGAATAACATTTAAAAGGGGAGTGATTTGTAAAATATCCATAAAGAAAAAGTAAATCTGTTTACAGTTCTGTTTCAAATGGGTGTTGAGAGATGTATCCATAGATCTCTTCATTTTGCTCTCAAAGTGCACCAGATTGATGCTTTCAACTTCAATACTTAAAAATCTTCCCGGGGGTGCATGCCTCCGGACCCCCCTATGTGAGGTCCACACACCACCTATAAAAATAGCGCTTGACCCCTGCTTAGACCTATATGCCGTGAGCTGATTATCGAGCCTTCATTGTAACAGTCGCGGGTACATTGTGTGTGTGTGTGGGGAGTGTTGCAGTAGAAAGTTCCACTGTAGCGCCCGGTACATTAATGGGAAACCCTAAATGGTTGAGCACCCTCTATGAAACGTCAAGCTACCCCACAGTACCCCCAAAATAAATCTCTGGCGCCGCCACTGAGCCTGACTATTTGTGTTGGGGGGGCCCGACTTTTTTTTTTCTCCAAAGGGGGGGGCCTGACAGAAAAAGTTTGAGAACCACTGCATTAGTCCAACTTACTTGCTATGAATGCATGCATGAGCTTTTCAGCCTCTGGTCGGTTTAAAAATGAGCGTTCTTTGCTAATATTTCTTAGGTGAAAGAAGCCCGTCTTAGTCACCCTGCTTATATGATCTGCTCCTAGCCGCAGACTCAGGTAGCCCAGCTGTCCTGGTGCTGTTAGACCTGACAGCTGCCTTCGACACTGTGGACCATAGCATCCTGTTGTCACGGCTTGAACAGTCCGCAGGCATCACAGAAAAAACGTCCTCACCCTCAACGAGAGCAAGACTGAGGTCATCTTTTTTGGACCCCGACCTCCAGCCTCTCCGGTTGATATTCTGGGCTCTCTCAATGACAACATCCTCCCCTCTGTCATGAACCTTGGAGTGACCTTCAATAGCGCTTTTAAATTTGATAAGCAGGTCAGTACCGTAGTTAAGACCTGCTTTTTTAAAATACGACTATTGGCCAAAACCAAGTCGTTTTTATCTTTTAAAGACCTAGAAAGGGTTATTAACGCCTTTGTTACCTCGAGACTGGATTACTGCAACGCTCTGTATGTGGGTATGGACCAGGCCTCAATTAGACGCCTCCAGCTAGTGCAGAACGCAGCTGCACGTCTTCTCACTGGCCACAAAAAGCGTGACCATATCACCCCAATTCTGGCCTCACTGCACTGGCTTCCAGTTCGGTTCAGAATTGATTTTAAACTCCTTTTATTTGTTTTCAAAGCCCTAAATGGGCTGGCCCGGCCAATGTAGCCGAACTCCTCCATCGCTACACCCCAGGCAGAGCCTTAAGGTCTGCTGACCAGCTGCTGCTGGTAGTGCCTAAGACCAGGCTCAAAACCCGAGGGCACTGAGCCTTCACAGCGGCTGGCCCCAGGCTCTGGAACACTCTGTCCCTCCATGTGAGGTCGGCCCAGACCCTGGGGGTTTTTAAATCTACTCTTAAAACACATTTTGTGTTTTTTATATCTGTTGTAATTTATTGTCTTTTATTGTGATTGTAGTAATGTGTTTTTATTACATGTACAGCACTTTGGCTCGACCAAAAATCACTTTTAAATGTGCTTTATAAATAAAACCTGATTTGATTTATATGAGGTATACAATTGAAGCCTGAATCTAACTTCTTTATATACTTTAAATACTTGATGAAGAAGGCATGCATCAGTACTAGCCTTTATTATGGCAGAAAATGACATGGTGTTTTACCTGCAGAAGGCAAAGAATACCAGGATGTTGTACTGCATCTGGTTGTATTGTGTAGCATCATTTTTGGGGATCTTCTGTCCCTCAATTCTTTGCATGTATACATTTGAGAAAGAGGGTCAACTTTGCAATTGTTCTTCTACATATCCATACTACATATGTACTGTAGGAGGAGACCTGAATCTAAAATGTATTCCCACATTGGGAGCACCGGGAAAAAAGAGAGCAATCTCTGAACTTAGAGAAGTACATACTGTGGAAGCTAAACCCAACAACAAATATATAATTTGTTTAATGTTCAAAATGGGTGTTGCAACATGCTCACATGAAAGCTACAAGGGACAAGGAATCAGATCATGCCACAGATCACATCAAATATATAAGGAATATATGAGAAAGCATTGCAAACTGTTTAGATGTAATGTTTAATTTGTGTTAATGTTATCTTTTAGACGCTTCATAACATGTCATTTGAAACAACGAGTTATTTTCCGGTTCAACTGAGACAACAAAATACAGTCCCATTGAACTATAAGTGCAAAGAGCTGTAAAGAGCAGAGTAAGCCATGTGGGAAAGGACCAGTGGGGGCGGCAGATTCAACATTCAAAGGCTTTATTGCCATATGCCAGTGGTTCTCAAACTTTTTCTGTCAGGCCCCCCCTTTGGAGAAAAAAAAAAGTCGGGCCCCCAACACAAATAGTCAGGCTCAGTGGCGGCGCCAGAGATTTATTTTGGGGGTGCTGTGGGGTAGCTTGACCTTTCATAGAGCGTGCTCAAACATTTAGGGTTTTCCATTAATGTACCGGTCGCTACAGTGGAATTTTCTACTGCAACACTCCCCACGCACATACACTATGTACCCGCGACTGTTACAATGAAGGCTCGATATCAAGTCTCGGCATATAGGTGTAAGCAGGGGTAAAGTGCTATTTTTATAGGTGGTGTGTGGACCTCACATAGGGGGGTCCGGGGGCATGCTCCCCCGGGAAGATTTTTAAATATTGAAGTTGAAAGCATCAATCTGGTGCACTTTGAGAGCAAAATGAAGAGATCTATGGATACATCTCTCAACACCCAGATGAAACAGAATTGTAAACAGATTTACTATTTCTTTATGGATATTTTATAAATCACTCTTTTAAACTTTATTCTTGTTTTACTGTCATATAGTATTTCATAGCTGTTTTTTCATGTATTCTCTTATTTTCTTATAACTATAATGATCATATAAACGTGTGCCTCGGAAATAATTGTTTACATTAATGGTGACCAAAACGTTTGAGACCCACTGAGATAACACTGAGAGAGTCCTTTAGCTCACTGAGACTCTCAGTCTGACAGGAGAGGACTCTCCTCCACTTTGTTGTTAAAAAAACTCCTTATATCCGTTAGCGTAGCTCGCTAGCACCAGAAGCTAACATCAACGATCTCCGGTACCGGTGCGCTATCTCTCTCTCTCGCTCACGCACGCACACAAAATGGCTCGTTCCACACACACACACCCACAGAGCCGAGCTTTAATGAAACACAGAGACCCAGACGTAATAGTACCGTATCATATTATTTTCGAATCAATAATTTTTCAAAATATGATTTTTTTATTTTTTTTTTATAATCTTTTTTTTTTTTTAATAACCATTTTTCCTCCTGGTCTTTCGCGTGCCCCCCACTTTGAGAACCACTGCCATATGCACAGGAGCTACAGTGTACACATGGCATGACAATCTGAAATCCCAGGCTCCTCCAACAATGAAACATATTTAGGACAAACAAGAATAAGACAGATTAAAAAAAACACAATTAAAATAGTGCAAAAAGAAACAGTAGAATGGATTAGAATAACATAGTGTTTTTATGTTGCAAGACAAATGTGAGATGAAGTAAACTGTATACATGAATAATTATAATAATAAAACATAAATAATAATGAATACAATAATCTCAATAATGCAGATTGTTATAAGTGACCAAGTAAAGGAAAGAGTCTATACAGATAAGATGGACACAAACAGAATCAGATATTGTTTATTGTGGTGATATTGATTTGGACTCAGGCATCAAGCCTGGAGGAGGCTCTGTTTCAAGACCCGGACCACCCAATTACGGGTGTGTTCAAGTTGGTGCGTCACAAGATTCATGTGAGAAGTATTTAAAGGCAAAAAACTAAAACATACATAGATGAAGTTATTTTAAAAGGTTTTCAGGTTATGTGTCGGCTAAATACAGAAAAGTATACATCTTCTCGTCCTGCAATGTCTCTTATTTCTAATGTTATTTTAACATTTCTGAATAAAAACAATGTATTGTGGTGAAACTGCTGGTCATTCATCGTGACCTTGAGAATATGTGATAAACAGTCAGAAGATAATGCTTTATTTTAAGAGTATGCAGAATACAAATACATGAGTATATATCAAGTATATTGAGTTATCAACTAAAATGTTTCCGTAGTGACCATTTTTGGTAGAGGAAGAAGATTCCAACAGTCTGAACATACGATATAAAAATGTAGTTATTTTACGATGTGTGTAATTTAGATATGGAACAAAATATATATGGACAAAGTTTTGGGGAAAAAACACACAATTTCAAAACATTTCCAACCTGACTTTGGTACATTTCGGTAGAATGGCCCATAGACATATATCTCAGGACTAGTAATTATATGAACATGTTTAAAGAACAACATGATGTATTCAGTTACGTTGTGTTGGAATGAGCTTTATCTAAAAACACCACTAGATGTCGGAGTCTAGCCATAAATGAGAGCCTGCATTACAACCCAGTGATAGTTGCAATATGGATCAGCATTATATACTATCTTATCATAATGTGTTACTGTGGACCATGCTTTAATAATGAAAGGGGGACAATGTGTTTATAAAGTATTTGCACACATGTGTTTCAGGACGGGTTGCTCTGTAAGTGTGTGTGTGTGTGGCTCTTAAAAGAGCCGTTGTGTTTCGGTGTTCTGGTCAGTCTAAGCCCTCTCTCCGCGGATGCGGCGGGCCAGCTGGATGTCCTTGGGCATGATGGTGACCCTCTTGGCGTGGATGGCGCACAGGTTGGTGTCCTCGAACAGGCCGACCAGGTAGGCCTCGCTGGACTCCTGCAGAGCCATGACGGCGGAGCTCTGGAAGCGCAGGTCGGTCTTGAAGTCCTGAGCGATCTCCCTCACCAGGCGCTGGAAGGGCAGCTTGCGGATCAGCAGCTCGGTGGACTTCTGGTAGCGGCGGATCTCCCTCAGAGCCACGGTACCGGGCCTGTAACGATGGGGCTTCTTCACGCCGCCGGTGGCCGGGGCGCTCTTACGAGCAGCCTTGGTGGCCAGCTGCTTCCTGGGAGCCTTTCCTCCGGTGGATTTACGGGCGGTCTGCTTGGTTCTTGCCATGGCTAGAGAGAGTCTGCTTCTCTGTTGGAAAGTAGTAACGTGGAAGACTTGTCTGTGTCTCTTATATAGCCAGAGCAGGCACGGCAACGACGCTGATTGGTCAAATGTATACACGTGCCACTGCAGCTCAACTATTGGTTGGTAGCGATTGGAAAATTCAAATTTCGCGCTCATTTGTTAAACTGTTCTTATTATACATCCATGTGTGACATACAGCTTTTTTAACACTTTGTCTATGATACAAAAGTCCAGCAAAGATGAATGATGCACAAATTATTCTATACATTCATAAACTCTGAATTCTGCATATTGTAATGCATACATATGTTGATGTACATATTGCTATATTTATAATGTTATTTTAGCATTCTTAAAATCGTTTTTATTATGTATGCGAATAAAACACCAAGACACATTCTAAGTATGTGTTACTTGGCAACAAACCCGTTATGGTTTCTGATTCTCTAATAACAAAATAATGTCTTTAAATGAAGAACATAAAGTATAAGTTATCTGAGTTTCCTACTATGGAGTCAGCTATTTATAAGCAAAGCGATGACCTGAATCAAATACACTTTCAGTCACAGCTGGTGTGAAATTTGAGTATTAGTTTGATTATAACTTTTTTTGGCAACGAAAGATGAAGAAATGACTTGAATGCATCTTGGAAATACACATCAATTCAATACATGAACATCTTACTTGGTCCTGATATTCACTGCTGACTGGCTTGCATCATTCACAATGGAAATATAGCATGGCGTACTGCGTGGCTCAGGTATACAGAGGATCGTACTGAATGCTACTTGGGTGAAGTAGAATTCAGCAACATTAATACAGAAGCCTTATTGAATAGAGGAAACTACGTGACATCCAGCAAAAGGGGCTTTATCCTCCTGGGAACCCAGGAAACAAATGTTTTCCAATCTTCTTTATTTTTGATTTCCTACCTATTTAGGGTTAAAAGAAAAACATCTTGCAATTTAGACTTTTTTAATGTAATTGTATTTTTAAATGTTACAGTATGTCCACTGTAGAGGAAGTCAGGAACATTTTAGTTTGAAAAGACAGCCACAATTAACAGATAGACTATGAAAAGTATTATGGTTATAGAGTGATATTAATACTAGAATACATTCAGCTTTATTTAAAACATAAGTAATTGATCTGAACATTGCTGTTTATTTGGTTTTTGGTGAATCTTTCCAGATCTTCAAAGACCTGGAGTCAATGTACTGAAAGCACCTCATTGGACTCCAGATGCAGATTTTCAATTTCTAGCTCACTCGGGCTGGTTTCTGACAGATGTAGAAACCAAAGCGCTATTCATTTGAGAATGTGGTGATTAACCTGCTGGATGTACGAAGGACATTGTGAAGAGGAGTTTGCTTTAGTTGAAATAAGGCTTTACTTTAGAGGCTACACCCCGAAATACAGATACATACATTAATAGTAATTTAGAGTTAAGTTTTAAGTGTGTATTGCTATAGAATATGGGTGTTTTTAGTTTCAGTGACTTGGTGTAATATATGACTCGTTTTATATGTTGTACTCAATACATATAGAGCAAGGGGGAGATCACTGCTCTGGGCCTTTAAGTAGTTGTGTAGTGAAGAGAGGAATGTTCTTTAGTTGGAAGTGGGTGGCTCTTAAAAGAGCCTTTGGGGTGTTGGTAGAAGCGGGTTCAGGGTGTTCACTTCTTGGCGGGCTTCTCGGTCTTCTTGGGCAGCAGCACAGCCTGGATGTTGGGCAGCACGCCTCCCTGAGCGATGGTCACTCCTCCCAGCAGCTTGTTCAGCTCCTCGTCGTTGCGGACGGCGAGCTGCAGATGGCGGGGGATGATGCGGGACTTCTTGTTGTCCCGGGCGGCGTTTCCAGCCAGCTCCAGGATCTCAGCGGTCAGGTACTCCAGCACAGCGGCCAGGTACACCGGGGCTCCGGCACCGACACGATGGGCGTAGTTGCCCTTCCTCAGATGCCTGTGGACACGGCCGACGGGGAACTGGAGCCCGGCCCGGGATGAGCGAGTCTTGGCCTTCGCTCTAACCTTTCCTGCACCTTTTCCGCGACCAGACATTTTCTATGTGTTTATTTTTCGACGTTAAGAAGAAAGTAACTCGGTCACAGTTCTCACCAGAATATATAGGAGCGCAGCTGTACGCTCATTGGTCAGATTGACCCGTAACTGTGATCGTCCAATCAGAAAACAGGTCGGTCTGCCGCCTGAATTATTTTCAGAATGAGACGTTAAAGTTTACATTTGTATTTTCTGAAATAGTTTTCACCCGTTCAAAGATGAATATAAACTCCTGTAATTTAAGAAGAGAAAGTCTCAATGTGTGGAGAACATTAAGACATTCATAAAGGTGTCATACTTAATGTTTATTTACAGTGTGTAATTAACTTATTAAATAATATATTCCGTATTATAACTCAAATGACACACCCACCTAAATACATGCAGCTGTAACGTGGGCTAAACATTTAACGGAAACAAAATGATCATCAGTTTTAACTTATTTGTGTAGATTGTAATTTGTGTAATGTCTACTTTTGTTATCTTTAATATTTTGAGGACATCTCTTATTTCATATTATGTGTATTCATAAAGGTCTATAACGTATGTCTTCTCAAAATGTATATAGTTCTATTTTATTTTGATTATTTTGCTAGGTATTCTTCATCCTGTGTATTTGTATGCACCAAATATACCAAAGCAAATACCCTGTATGTGTTAACCTACTCGGTAATACAAACTAATCTCATTCGTGTACATACATTATTATATTTGCAGCACTTAAGATACAATATAGCTTTATTTGTTAAGCATTAAACCTCCAGGTGGAAGTGATGTAGATAAACAGAAATTAATTGTAATACAACAATTACAGAGCTCAGTTTAAAATTACTGCTGAAGAAGTAAAATTAACATGTAAATAGTTAAATAAAGATCACAGGAAGATAATCCAAGTGAGTATAGCAGTTTAATGTCATTGCCACCAATACATAATTTAAATACCAGCTTTTCATAAATAAATGGTGTTAACTTGTACCATGTATTGTTTTAGTTATATTAAAAAGGCAACTATGTTGACGTATATCGGGACACTTTGAAAGAGGAAAGCAGCAGTAGATGAAGTGGGTGGCTCTTAAAAGAGCCGTTGGTTTGTAGCAGCAGCGGCAACAGGTTACTTGGAGCTCGTGTACTTGGTCACGGCCTTGGTGCCCTCAGACACGGCGTGCTTGGCCAGCTCTCCGGGCAGCAGCAGGCGGACGGCGGTCTGGATCTCCCTGGAGGTGATGGTGGAGCGCTTGTTGTAGTGAGCCAGACGGGAGGCCTCCCCGGCGATGCGCTCAAAGATGTCGCTCACGAAGCAGTTCATGATGCCCATGGCCTTGGAGGAGATGCCGGTGTCGGGGTGCACCTGCTTCATCACTTTGTACACGTAGATGGCGTAGCTCTCCTTCCTGGACTTCCTCCTCTTCTTGCCGGTCTTGCTGGGGGTCTTGGTGACCGCCTTCTTGGAGCCCTTCTTGGGCGCTTTCACACTGGCTGCTTCAGGCATGATCAACGGTTGAGGGTTCTCAAAGTAGAACGTATTCACCGAGAGACAGCGTGGTGTATTTATATTCATGCGATGCAACTGAGACTGTGCTGTTGCTCGCACGGGATTGGTTGGGTACTGAGCATGCGCAAAACAAATCACCCTTGAGCATAGTTTTTGAGAACAGAAGAGAAACATGTTTTTGTATTGAAATCTAAATAATGAAATAAACCAAAAAAAGACTTGATACATTAAGTATATTGTTTTTTTCAGATTAAGATAAAATATAAAATGGTTGAAGAACTTGGTCTTTTAAAAACTGAAAATGATAACCTAAATCAAGAAATATGATATCATTCATAAACAATCAGATACTATATTACCCAACGCAATCTAGTACAAGCCATTCAAACTGGTCAACAAAGAAAGCATTTCATAGTATTTCTAGAGATTACATGAAGGCTTCCCTGATGCCTTTATAACAAACCTGTAAATGTCTGAATTGAATCGAGTGTGTGCGTGAATGCAAATGTTTTTAAGTAAAGGGCTTTCTTGTATTTATATATGTGGTTGATGGAGTAAGCTAATGATTCCATGTGGAGAGAAGGGCTTTAAACGTAATAAATAGGCTAGGGAAAAGGTACACATTAGATCATACATACCCTTAAAACCTAATGTAAATATAAATGAAATAACAGAAAAGAGTTGAGTGGACAACAATGCTAACAATATATATATATTTTTTTATAATCACTAATAGAGCATGGTATGATGACAACCTGGCAGGACATCTGGAATAACTGAGTGTCACGATTAATGTAAACAATTATTTCCGAGGCACGTTTATATTATCATTATGGTTATAAAAATCAGAGAATAAATTAAAAACAGGGATGAAATACTATATGACAGTAAAACAAGAATAGAGTTTGAAAGGGGAATGATTTGTAAAATATTCATAAAGAAAAAGTAAATCTGTTTTCAGTTCTGTTTCAAATGGGTGTTGAGAGAGGTATCCATAGATCTCTTCATGTTGCTCTCAAAGTGCACCAGATTGATGCTTTTAACTTCAATACTTAAAAAACAAATCTTCCCGGGGAATATGTCCCCGGACCCCCCTAGAGGAGGTGAGGACCCCCCTAGAGGAGGTGAGGACCACACACCACAAAAATACCACTTTACCCCTGCTTACACCTATATGCAGTGAGCTGATGATCGAGCCTTCATTGTAACAGTGTACTGTGTAACGATACGCTGTGTATTTGCGTGGGGAGTGTTGCAGTAGAAAGTTCCCCTGTAGCGATCGGTACATTAATGGGAATCCCCAAATGTTTGAGCACTCTCTATGAAACGTCAAGCTACCCCACAGCCACCCCAAAATAAACCTCTGGCGCCGCCACTGTGCCTGCAACCCTGTTCTGAAGAAATGTGCAGTGCAGAACAGGCTCATTGCAGCCACCTGTGATAAGACACACTTTTTTGCCAAATATCAGCATTTTC